CAATTTGGGACAATTTTTTGGTCAATGTTCTTGTTGAAATTGAGAAATTCCTTTGGATGTATTATCCAAGTGCTTTCGAGGAGTTTCCATTAATCTTCCTTGGGTGGCCGTTACCCCATTCGTGCGTGATCTAATGTTTTGATGTCGTCATAAATAGTAGATAGGAGGATGTTGGTGTGTGCATGAATTTCACAGCCACTGCGCACACCCTCATTCCACAAATGTAATATGGTCTTGCGTTGTCTTTCTTGCTTCGAATCAGTCATTTCATAACAATGTTTCCCGAAAAGTACAAAATTGATTTTGATTAGTAATGTTGCTCAAATCTAAGCTCGATCATTATGTTTATTTTCCATTTTACGCGTTGCAAATCGGGTGCAAACAAATTATCCTAGATGGATTTTTATTACATTCACAAATTTCCGGTTTTTTTTGTTACACACTGTATATCAAGCACTTTTCACAAAAAATATCCCTACTCTATGTATTAGAAACGCGATTTGACCAAATCCATAATGCAAATACCTCTGCTCGAAGAAGAGAAGAAAGCCAACGTAGCCGTACACCACCACCTTCCTATGAAGAAGTTTCATCAATGCTAGATCGTTGTGAAGTTTCTGCTAGTCATAGGGGCGTTCAACGTCAGGTGCATTGGCAATTTGTTACTGATTTGGATACTCGTAAACAATGAAAATGTATCAGTGACATGGAGGCAACATGTCATGCTTTTGCTATTATATCTATATGTTTGGCGCTAAGATGATATTTTCACACAATTTGGAATATTTGCTGGTGCATTCTTTGATTTCCTCGATAGCTTCGGGTGTTAGGATTGGCACATAAATTTTACGAACACGATTATGATCGACTATTCATAATATTATAAAAGACATTGATAAAATTTTTATTAAATAACAATTGGATATAAAAAAACGCTATTAATATTCTAATACAATAAGATTTACATCAAATTTTGGTTTATATAGTGAACACATTAATTGGCACCGTCTACTACATAATGTCGCGCGAACAGATCATTCTGTATCCATAATAACTTGGTGAATGCAATAGTTGTTTTTGTTGCAACATCATTCTCCAATCCTGCCTTGCTGATTGCGTCGATAAGGATAGTATTAACATACGAAAACAGCGCATTGCAATGGATATATTCTACGTTTATACGTGACGCTTTTCCCGGGAATGATGTATGGATTTTCCCAACATAATTGAGATAATTAACAAATCTCTCATCATATTCTGCAGTGACCAATTTCACAAGATATTTCTTAAGAAAGTCCTTTCTGAACTTAATCTGTTCGCTATTAGCCTGCAATGACTCTAACGTGTTGTCGACTTTCCCGGTGAATCCTTCATTGCGTGCAAGAAACACCTGCTTGGTGATATCGAAGGAGAATAACTTTTCGTAGACGAGTTCAACGACCTTATCTACAAGCGGAGCGATAATGGGAGCCGAATTCTTGATTGCCTTAATATCTTCCTCACCGAATTCGACAAATTGAGCAACGTAGTTGAATCGGTATTGAAGATCCGTGTATAGTCTTTCACGGTCGATGTGGGTAATTCCTGATGTCATTTTGGTATAGTAATAAAAGCAGTTGGTTTAATAGAGAGAATTACTGTAATAGTAAAGTGACAGTCGTTTTGCGTGTGCGGAACAGCGCAATTCTTATCATTATATAACCATTCCGAATGTTTTGGTATGACAGTATGAAATGATCCGTGATTCGGCGGTTTTTAGTGGCCTCATAATTTAGGCGTTTTTTTTTTAACGTACGAGTCTTGCATTATGTAGTACATAGTCAAACTAGAAAAAAATAATTCAGAGTGATATTTGTCCGACATCCTCGTGGGAGATCTAATGATAATAGAAGACATAGTAATGTTAATCAAGATATTGGCAGAGCCAGCACAGCTGAAACGAATACGCAGAATTCGGAGCCTCGTGCTTCCACTGAAAATAATCCAGATAATGATAATGGTACAAATAATGAAATTAACGCTACAGGGAATAGTGATAGTATGAGTATTGGAAATTAATATTCCAAGAAATAATGTTAGCAGTGATTTAGAAATTAATAAAAAATTTTTACATTCCTTCTTGATTAAACGCAATTACCAGTATATACACCCATCATTTTAATTGTATTCACATTGCCATAAATGAAGAACTGTTATTTATGTTGTATATATTTCAGCGTGAATTTATTTAAAGGAATTAAATTGATAATCCCTCTGCATAATCAATCAGATAATCATTAATGTGGCTGTGCAACGAAAATTATTTGAATCACATACCACAGAATAAAAATCGAAGGTCATGGAACTTCTGCATGCATGATGCAATCGTACGACCTGCTGACTGTTACTATAAATTCTAATTCTGATTAACCAACTCGTGCACATGCATTTTCTTTGTGAAAAGTTTTTTCGCTGTGTACATAGTAAGGCTTGCATCGCTCCACCAGATTCCCTGATCTACTGTTCCCATACCTAAACGAGGCAGAAATGGGTGGGTGGAAACGTTTTAAAAGGACAGTATATCTACGTTATGGTTATTTGTTGCTTTATTTGTGATAAAAACTATTATCTACAATTCCAAAAAAATGTCTGAAAATTACTTTTACCTCAATCGCAATCAACCAAACCGTGTATTATATTTCAAAGAATGGCTCCCCAGTATTTATCTACCAAGTGTTAAAATTTTGAGAAGAAATAACGTTAATGTTGCAGAAACCCAATATCGCCAAGAGATTCAAGACGCTATAACCACTTGTGGCGAGGTCCATTCAAATAGCAAACAAAAGCTAGAAACAATCTTAACACAGTTTAACTCCATGTCCAAGGTATGTAGTATAAAAATTATTGGATCTCTTTCAAAAATGATGATATATTTTTGCAGAAAAGTGGTGGATATAACAACATAGGTCTATGTTGCTGTCTGTATCTGGGTGTACGTGATATTGTTTTAGCGTATGTCTTAGCTTGCAGAGTGCTGGCACTGTAAGCATCAAAGGGTGTAGTTCAGGAGATTCGTCGTTCCGGACTTCTGATTTATTTGTGATATTTGATGCTGATATGATAATTATTATCTTCAGAGAGCTAAGATAGAAAATGGTTGCTCAGATACTATCATGCTTGCATATACTGAAGTTATCCGCCATTTGGAACGGTTGGATTTGGCATCGATTAGACCAGAAGCTCCTCTAGCATCCGGTGTTATTGATCTTTCGGGTAGTGAGGATCCATTTACAAATTTATTATCATCGAGGACAAAGCAGATTTTGATGCATCATACATTCCATAACGATGATTTCCCGGGAGAAATAAATGATGATGGATGATTTCGTAAGCACATATAGAGATTTGGGACCCGATTTCGATCCAGTATTCATGGGACCAATCGCTTTCCCACATGGGGAGATGACCGTTGAAACCAGACGTATACTGATGACGGTTTTTGACTTATTAGAAGGATTGTAAGTTATTAGTGTGTAATTCTATTCATGCTTACTTTATTAAAGAGTATTTATTTTCCAGGCGTCACATCTGGGGTTGCAGACCGTTGTTGACAGAAGATGAATATAGCGAGAATGCTTATGTGATCCATGCAGTATCGAAGGTTCTGGACCCAATCCTCAAATGTTCAAAATGGCCACTCAAGCGTGCATGGTAATGTATCTATATAACTATATATGACGTATTATCTATTCTAACTATATATATTTCAACATATATAGGTCTGAGCAGACGAGTAAATCATCACAATCTAGGATGGAACGGATGGAAGCTACGAATTCGGGGAAGAAGCCGGATCTGCAGGTTTTGCTAAAGCTTGATATGGTAGAAAGTGAACTCGTACTTGCTGAAGTTTCACGATTACTCCCTCAACAAAGTAAAGAACTATAGACTGGAAGAAATTGGTACGTATTTGCAAAGAATGTTTTGATGAGCGATATAATTTTTCTTTGATGGGAGAGACGATACCACCGACACGGCTAGATCGCTAAATATCGAGCTAGGGAAAGTTCCCGTTTTAGGTATCCAAGTAATACGAGATCGTGTGGCTGTTTCCGCGTTAGACTTATTGAAGATGATTTTTATCGAATTTTTCAGATCTGTGAGTTGGTTATACCATTACGTATTTCCTCTCGCCAGATCGTCGAAGAATTTTTAAAGAATGCTCTTAAATTGAGATCCGTGGTTGAAAAAATTATCGCAATGGCGGTGGGTGTGAAAGATGAAATTAATCTTTTGCCAGTAATCGAAGATCGGACACCATCATCATCAATGATGTCGACTACATATTCTCCACCAAGAAGTTGTTATGTGATTCGGATAAATTTACTAGAGTATCATATTTCTATCCCGTATTTTATCGTATGATTTATTTCGTATCAATAAAAGTAGCTCTGGTGGCTGAAATATTATATACTTTGTGCGATATACGTGATTAGGCATTCACCCAGCCCCTGGCTAAATTTTTCAGATAATCGTTACACATTAATTATTTTCAGATTGAATTTGTTGTATTCACTTAACTTATATATTTATGCGCATTAATTATATTACCATATTATAACAATCATGACGAGTAATACTAATAATAATACTGATCCAAGTGAAAAATTCCCTCAATTATACAAGGTGCTTTTATATAAGAAAAAAGATATAACAGCTATTCAGAAAAAACTCGGTATTAACAGTAATATAAATCAAACGGCAGTGTCGGAGAGCAAGAAAGCGAAAAAACTTGTCGATTCATATGAATTGTTGTTAGAATTGGTGGGGGATTTAATACTTATACAGGGGAACCTTGGTATAGATATCAATCCCATTTTAGAAGCGGAACTTAGAAGGGATAAAGCCTCTTCAGATAAACCAATTAGATTATTTGATTTGCTTTTATGCTTAGAAGATGATATAGCGACAATTCAGGAAAAACTTGGTATTGTCGGTTATACTAATCAAGAAATGGGTAATTACTGAATGTGGGAGATAAAATCTATTTCATCATGACATCGCTCCCTGAGGCCCATTATAACGTGACATAGTGCTTCTGACTAATTTTTTTCTTTTTACTTTACAACGTCTTCGCTTAATAGGACGTTTCTTTGCAGATGAAGTCTTATGCATATTTATAAGCTCTGATCGCAATCTAGTCAAAGAAGAATCACTTGAGTCAGAAATATCTGAATTGGAAGAAGTATCCGAATCCGTGGAATAATTGACCCTATTTTTCTTGCTCTTATTTTTGGAAACATCGTCATTTAACCTTCTGGGTGTTGGAGGTGCGGGAGGTATATTGTGAAATATTCCGCGATGGCTCTTTTGGTGTTTAATATTTTGGGTACCTGAGAGAATTTTGTTGATTATGTTTATAGCCTCCTCTTGAGCTAGACCAGGTTTAGATTCCATTGATTTAGATAAGTTATTTTTAGTGGAACTGGTTTTATGACTCAAAGAGTCGCCTGTGGGCCTGCTATATTCACCATTTAATGGGATACTCATACCATCTATTACAATTTTAGCATGGTGGCTACAGTTTTCTGGAGAATTTGAAAGTCTATTACTTCGGTACCATCTAAGCTTTGCCACTTTCCTTTATACTGGAATTGTAAATCTAAGCATTTTATTTCACCTATTACATCTTCATAGAGATTCTCATCAGGATCACGTATTCCATAATATTCTTCAAGCTTATCAAATAAGCACCTGCTAATGGTATTAAACTTCGACGATGTATCGATTAATGCTTTTACTGGGATTTTTCCTTCGACAATAGTATCAACAAACATGTTAAGTATATTTAATAATGTATATTATAACCGAAAAAAATAACTAATAAATAATTACCCATTCTCTGCTACTACATAAAATTATTTGTAAACCATGAATGATTAGGATTAATCCCGCCAATCTCTCTGATACAATTACTGAATGTGGAAATAAAATCGATATTATGTATCTTGACACTAGCTCTGTTATTATCTTATATCGTCCCAATTATAACAGGGACATACACTCCAGAATCGCTAAATTCAGACTCAGTCTCAGAATCGCTAGATTCAGACTCCGTTTCAGAGTATTCTGAATCGTAATATTCACTTAGGTCAATCAGGCTATTCTTCATATTTTTATCAGAAAAACGAGTTAAAATTATATCTCCATCTCTATCTATTCCGATTAATTTGGGGAATAACATTTCATAGAATATATGTAATGAACGAGGTAATATTTCTATACTATCTTCTCTCCAATAACATTTTCCCTTTTTTTCCCAAAGCTCATTCCTGCATATTTTATATCCATAGAAATCAATGTCAATTCCTCGACCTGTTAGCCATGAACTTCCTAAAACTAAGTCATATTCAGGTTTGTCAATAACTACGAAATTAGTAAATGTTTCGTTTAAATATCGAGGTAAGGATTTTAATTTTCCCAATTCAAAAATATTTGGCAAAGTGACAGAAACTTTTTCTCTATCAACCCAACCCCTCCTCATTACTTTCTTGCCAGCATTTGTTGCGCCAATACCAAGGTCTTCTACTGCTGGGTATTTAGATCCATACATTCTAGTAATATATAAACCCATTTTTTGGGCAAGTGCTTTACTGATACTACCGTACTTGGATTTAGGGTCAATTAGCGCTTTGACAGTTGTTTTTCTATTAACGAATGTACAATCCACTATTAATCTTTTGCGAATTTCTCTAATCACTTCGGTTTTCCATATATCATTTAAACTACAGCAATTTTTAAGATCTTGGATCGGAAGATACTTCGTTATGAATGGTATTAATTCTGGTGGAAGAAGATTAAGTAAATTAGGCATTGCTAATTAGTATATATCGGAAA